GAGAGAGAGAGAGAGAGAGAGAGAGAGAGAGAGAGAGAGAGAGAGAGAGAGAGAGAGAGACAGGCGCGTCAGGCGTGTCAGAGCAGCGCAGGCAAAATGACCACCTGCCGACCCATTTACAGCCCATCGACATTGTCGTCGGCCGATCAGCGCGTGACATAAACGTGAGACACTCACATTCGCATATCAAACGATGTCTTTTTCATTCTCTTTCACTTCCTCAAGATTTTGAAGTCATTTCCTCCACTTGACAAAAATTAAAATGACAATAACGGTGAATTTTACTTCTTTTCCCACAGGGCATGCGTACAACACCGGTGACACTACCGCCAAGCTCACGGCCGCGATGCAAAAAAGCGGACCACTAACGGGTTTCGCGCCAAAGCGGCGCCCAATCGGAGCAGTCCGACACCCTCTTATCGAGCGCTAGCCTCGCGCGCACTCGCGACCGCGGCCCGGCCCTCGCGATAGACTAAGAAGAAATGCCCTATCACTCTGCGCGGATAGCCGGTATGCAAATGACCCTTTGTTTCAATTTTTACGAGTACGGGTTGCACTATCGGCCAAACGGGCCAACACTCCCGCAGAAACACCGGTTGGCTCGCACTTTAGATACCGGCGGTAAAATAGTGCGCATCCCGCAACGGTCAAACAATAAGTGCATATAACTACACTGACAAAACAACGATGAAGGTGCCATTGAAAATATGTACAAGGAGGAGCTTTTCGTGTTGCTTGAAATTTAATTCACTTTCCAAGTCACAAAAATTACTCTTGAGTGCCCTTTGAGACATTAAGTGTATAAGTTTGGGTCTGTAAAGGCGTATTTGCAAAAGGTATACGGCAAAAGTCAGTTCTTAAACCCAGAATCGTACACCTTCTAAAAGTTTGGTGCAGTTCCTGTGAAATAATCCGCACCGCCCTCCATTCCTAATGAAAGCAGCTGTCTCCTCCGAAAATGCACCACATTCTCCCATTCTTATGCAACCCCGTCTCTGCTTTTATTCCCGCAACTTTTGCCATTGTTCCGCGCGCGCGCTTTCTGATCGGACTATTTTCAGGAAGACACGCACCTTGCCGCCGCTGCCCGGCCCTTTGGGTTCGCCACCGGCACAGCCAATCCGTTGCATCACCCCTTACAATTCAATACGCGAATACAATACATCGCATCGCGCGCAGGGAAGGCCGGCCGGCCGGCCGGGGCTGAGCAGCACGCCGGCCCGGCCACAACTTCCCAGAGGATTTTCTCTAAACAATGGCCGGGTCCTTAACGAATTGCAGGCCGCACGTACGGCACCGCACCGGGATCCGCTACGCCCCGCCCCACCCCACCCGCGGGCGCCGACTTCAACAGGAGCTTCAGCAGCCAGAGTCAGAAGTAGGGCTCTAGACAAGGCAAAACGTTCAAATTTGCTGGTAAAATCGCACGACATAAAAAGAAGAAAGAAAACAACGCCGCGCATAAAAGAATTTGAAACAAAAAAAAAGAAATTCAAAGATTAAACAACGGTGAACTTAAGGTTAATGTTTAGAGGACATGATATGAAAAATCAATATCAGAGTTTCAGGGTAAGAAAAACATGGATTAACTAGTATATCCCATAGCGTTGCAATGAGACCGCACGGCAAGGCTTTGCCCGAGGCTTTGCCCCCGGGAGCTTCGTGCTTCCCATCCTGTGCACACAACACCGCAAGGTCGTTACTCCGCCCGAATATAATCCGCGCAACGGGAAAGACATACACATTTCATTTCACTCCTCACTGCTCGGCGCAATCTACCCCCTCCCACTCCCTCCTCCCTCTGTCTCTCTTTCTCACGAACACATGCGGGATGGCTTATGCTCCTCCACCTCCCGCAACGCCGCCGCGCCACGCCGCCAAGGAAACCAAAATCACCAGAGAGAATGAATTTGATTGCTTGATTAAATGGAGGCCGACTGTGCGCCTGGCCCTTTGCGCCCGGGGCAAGGGCGGCGCCGCCACGACTACTCGGCAAAAAATCAAGTCCCGGAGTCTAATTTGCTTAACGGTCGGTCGGCAGCCCTGTGAAGCCTTCCGACCTCCATGTCATGTGGCCAAAGGAAATGGCCAGTAAATGAAAAGGGGGAGGGAAAAATCAAGACCCAGCCCGTCACCTTTCTTGCTCCGCTTTCTTCTACTTTCTTATTTCCGTCTTGACCTGCACTTCGGCACATGACCCACCCGCGACACACAATAAGTCACCGCGGCCGTCTTTGACGGGCTGGCCTGGCGCGGACTGTACCGCAGGGAACAAAAGGGTCTCACACACGCGCACACGCGCACACGCGCACACACACACACATACACACAATGCATTCCGTTCGGCCACGGCAGTGGTGGTGGCGGTGGTGCAGCCAGAAGAAGCGCCCTGAATATCAAGCATAGGCCCTCCCTCCCAAAAGCAGTGCCTGTCGAGCGAGGTCGAGTCGGGCTGTGAGAGAGCAGCGGCTCGCCCCATGTGCTTTGGGCCTTATTTTGAGAATAGGGACGGCAAAGTAAATGCGGTGGTGTGCGAACTTTGTGATGGCAAAAAGTAACGTATGGACTCTCTTTAATTGATGCGATTGCATCTAACAAAAGACAACACTTGCAGGGTGTATATTTTTTGTCCCACCTGTCTTTTGTCCCACCTATTTAAAAATA